TAGCATCGGCTTTTCGCCCGCACTGCCAGCAGCCTACATTCTCCAGCTGGCATCACTGAGCCCCCGGGCTACTTGCTTTTTCCCGGGCTGCATGAGCAGAGCGCTGGTCACCCGTCGCCCACAGGGCACGTGGACAACAACCAGGTACACCTGGGGCTGCGCGGGGAGCTGTTTGGCCGTGCTGACCCGTACCGCCCGGTAGCCAGCCCTCGCACGGACCCGTACGCGGCCAGCGCGCAGTTCCCCAACTACAGCCCCATGAACATGAACATGGGCGTGAACGTGGCGGCCCACCACGGGCCCGGAGCCTTCTTCCGTTATATGCGACAGCCCATCAAGCAGGAGCTGTCGTGCAAGTGGATAGACGAGGCTCAGCTTAGCCGGCCCAAGAAATGCTGCGACCGGACCTTCAGCACCATGCACGAGCTGGTGACGCATGTCACCATGGAGCATGTGGGGGGCCCAGAGCAGAACAACCACGTCTGCTTTTGGGAGGAGTGCCCCCGGGAGGGCAAGTCCTTCAAGGCGAAGTATAAACTGGTCAACCACATCCGCGTGCACACGGGCGAGAAGCCTTTCCCATGCCCCTTCCCGGGCTGCGGGAAGATTTTTGCCCGCTCCGAGAACCTCAAGATCCACAAGAGGACCCATACAGGTAAGGGGGAAGGCAGGCGGGCGCGGGGCTTCACCGGTGGCACCTCACCTCACCACCGAGCGGACTTGCACAGCTTTGCAGAGGGGTACCAGCCAAGGAGAGGGGCGGCGCCCCGCCAAGACTGTTCCAAAAAGAAGCGCTGTTGCCCCCCCGCCCGCACTCTCCCCGCCCCCCTCCCCCCGGTGCTTTTGCCCAGTTCTAACTTCCCGGGCAGACGGCTTTTCGGTCTCAGGAACTAATTGGGACCTTCTCGCGCCCAGGAACAAACTGGCGCCGCCTCTTTTTGTCTCCCTTTCTGGGTTAGTGTGAAGGGACTCCGAATGTGTTGAGAGCGTATTGCTTACAAGCGACTTAGCTCTCCGCACACATTCGAGGAAGGCAACCATAGAAATGCTAATGAAAACTAACTTTCGGTTACTTCCGTTCTTTTTTACACTTGATTGGCACATCTCCTAATTAAATGACTGATACTTTTGTCAAACTATTTTTATTTGGAGTTCCAGGTTCAATT